CTACTGAAAACAAATCCCTACTTGCTTCAAAACATAGCTCTTCACAACTAAATTATCTACTGGTATGTTTATGGATGGCTCAGTTTAATTATAGCCAAGGTCTATGTTTTATAGAAATACAATTTTATTAAACATGCCACTGAAAGCATTCGCAATACACAGAACACACTAACTATATTGTTATCTGAATTGATACAAGCTCTACCAGTGATGCAGGAAGAAGCAAACTATCTCTTCCCTGTCAGGTCAGTGGGGTTTGGGGTCTGAACTCACTTTACAGTACTTCCCTCAGTGAGGCACTAATTTGTGCTGTGTTTTGTACTTTGCTATCTCCGTATTTGTTGCAGCAGGAAAAGATGAGGAAGGACATCAGAGGACAAGAGAAACACATTTTTTTAAGAAACCATCCTAAATCTCTGAGAGGAGAAAGGTTTCACAAACCTTTCTGAAGTACATTTGAGGGCTATGCTTGTTAAAAATCTAGTAAAGTCCTTCCCCTGCCCAACACATATATGTGGAAGCAGCAACCTCACCTCCACATCACTTCTATCAGTGGTCCTGCTTCCAAGATTTATCTCCCTGTGATGAAGAAAAGTACCAGAGGCTTTTTCTACCTTCTTTCTCTTCAATCAGTTCAATAAGGGTGTTTCAGTGGGAGGAAGAGGTAATACAGCGTCATTTGGGAGGTTGTGTCGCCCACACGCTGTAGTTAGACCACACGCTGTTCTGCTCCCACTTGGTTCAGGGGAACACATCACAAGGATTTAAGCAAGAACAAGAACAGATTTCTGAAGTCTCCGAGGTTTCCTTTTAGTTGAGTTTCAGATAGTTTTGTTTTGCTCTGGCATCATGATTTAGTAATGACTAACAGAAGTCACGTATGTCAGTATATATTTCTCTTTTTTAATTTTTTTTGAAAATAAATGATGACTGGCATAATGATGAATTTTCTGGAAAGTTTATCCCATTTTCATGTGAACATTGTTGAATTGGAGGATTTGATGCTGGCACAGTGTTGTATACAAAAATGATAGAAAATATTTTCTAGGTCTTCTGCATTGCAAATAATTGTTCCAGGGAAAGCAGGTTGTACTTGCTGCGTTCAGAAAGAAAATTATTAGTGTTTCTAAATAAGCACTAAACAAATCCTAGCCAACAGAAGGAGCTTCACAGAGAAATTGTCTGAGTTGTTGAGCATTGTGAATCTCACTGTTCAATGATGACAAACGGAGGTTTGGTAATACAACGTACTGAGTCAAAGAAAAAAGCGCACAGCTCTTTCCTCACATCTACCAGGAAACTGCAGTTAACTAGAATTTTGGGTGAGGGTGAAGTCATTCAGCCTCGCACTGCCCCTACAGACTGATTCACCTCCAATGACACTGGTGTTTGCAGGTGGTTATCCAAAATGACAACCCCAAAATAGGTGGAGATCATAATAACCTTTTAAATTGGAGTACAGGAAAACCAGAAAGAAATCTAGTTGCAGCAGACTCACAGGGAATTCTTGTTTGTGCACACTGAAATAAAGTTAGAAATGGAGAAAGCATAAAAAAAGTCTCAAGCAAATAGGTGTAGTTAAATAACATTTGCAACAGTAGATGAAAATGTCTTCTACTTTAGAACATGATGGATGTCAATGAAAAGAAAATAAGCCATGTCCAAATTAAAATAACAACACTGGGCTAATTGCTCTATAGCAATATTCCCATCCACCTCAAAATCAAGTAGGGTTACAGGAACCGGATGATGAATGCTCTGTTTGCTCTCTCCATCAATAACTCCAATTCATAGACATCTGAGTGTTTTCTCGCTCATTGAAAATATTATGTCACTAGACGAAACGCCCAAAATATTGTACGTTTAAAGGTACAGATGATCTGATTATTAGACCCTTGGTAATACTAAAAGGGGAAATGAGACACACACTCGAGTGTATAGGTGCTGCTTCATGATTTTCAGACACCCACACAGAAATGCCTATATTACTGTTGTTCTATACTTAGTTTATTTCTCATGATAATTACAAGCTAATTGACTTGTGCAGTCACTTCTAGAGAACTGTGAAAAAAGAAAAAAATATCAGCA